CCCGCAAAAACAACAGTACGCCCAGAAACAGGTACCCGCCAAAACCACAGTACGCCCTGAGACAGGTACCCGCCAAAACCACAGTATGCCCTGAGACAGGTACCCGCCAAAACCACAGTACGCCCTGAGACAGGTACCCGTCAAATCCACAGTACGCCATGAGACAGGTACCCGCCAAAACCACAGTACGCCCTGAGACAGGTACCCACCAAAACCACAGTACGCCCTGAGACAGGTACCCGTCAAAACCACAGTACGCCCTGAGACAGGTACCCGTCAAAACCACAGTACGCCATGAGACAGGTACCCGCCAAAACCACAGTACGCCGCAGCAAAATATCGGCTTATGTTTCTCTTATTTCCTTCTCCCCATTCTACTCTGCCTCTCTATTTACAGTTCATAGGTTCATTATTTAAAAAGAACCACATTTGTAATCTACTTCTGGATAGTTTACTGGAATCATTTAGGTAAAGTACCTCGTGCAAAGCTACAACAGAAGCTGCTCGCCGCCTCTTGATTACAGGCGTATATCCTTAACCACTCTGCTGGCTCGTATACCGCAGCCCCGCCCCCCCCCCCCAAAACAGGGTCTGAAGTGTAAAGCAAGAATGCAGGCTGCTGCTCACAGGAGTTACCTTCCAACAACAGTCATCAGCAGGTCGTCGGGCAGGGGGAGCCTGAAGGCTTTGCAGATAGTCCTGACCTCCTGGGTGGACAGACGTCCTGCTCTGCAGAGAGCCGACACAAATTCCAGAGCTTAACCCCCAGGCAGCACTGATCAAAGCAAGACAGACCGCCACCTCCGGAGCAGAATTAGCACCATCGCTCTCCGATGACATCAGAGCTGGCTTGTTCCGTGTGGGAGCTGCCCAGTCTTTGCTCAGTACTGAGAAAGAGGAGGTGACTTTACTGCTGGTGGGACACACAGACAAACACACGGCTAACCCATCTGTGGACGGGTCGTGCGGATTGACCCATTAGGACCCAGAGCCACCATTTCTACAGGCTGATGTTTTCATCGTTCAGAAAGCATCTGCTTTCAATGTTACACCTAAAGCTCTATAACTAGAGCTCTGTGGGGCCTGTATGCGTGCAATGCTAATCACGTGTGCGTGCGAGACTGTCTGTGTAAAGCGTGAGGGTCGGGGTACCCGTGCCGGTCCTCGTGCAGAAAGGCACTAGTCATTTCCGGAAAGTCTTCGAAGTGCTTCTTCCGCAAGGTCTCCTGGGCTGCACCGAGGGCCAAATTCAGGTCCGAGTGGGACGGCGCCGGTGCCGGCATACGGTAGCAGCGGCCCAGTGTCAGGATCTCATGCTCCGACAGCTGGCATCCTGCCTCCAGGAGCAGATCCCTGTGGCGCCCCCCGCAGGTCTGTCAGCTGACTGCAGGGATATTTTTAACTCTGACACTCACACATTGGGGCCGGTCCCTGCCCAGCCCACCTCAGAGGCCCGTATGACACCACTCCCATGTCCTCTGGATCGCTGACGGCAAGAAGGCTCTCGATCTCCCTCCGCTTGTCCTCACTGATGGATCTCAGCTTGCTCACAATTGTGTCAATGTTTGCCCTGGGAAACTAAACCAGATCATTCCCTCAGAAAAATAATTGAAATTCGTGTCTTGGGTAAATAAAAATGAACCTAAAAAAAGGAAAACAGTTCAAGTTATGCAGGTTACAGGGCACTGTGTTCAACAGAATGTTTCGTGTTAATGTGCCGCTGGCATTATGTGGAGGAAGAACAGCTCGGCTGGAATGAGCCTGGCCAAATAACCGTAAAAATCACGGCGGTATCATAACATGGGACTGGGAAACAGCACATGCAGTGGAATTAAGGGCAGATTGTTTACGCGGCAGGAAACATGGTTTGAGGTGGACTTACACTTAAACCAGGCTTTTAAAGCGCTGAGGTTTTAATGGGTCTGATCTCTGTGGTTTACCTCATGCACAGAACCGCGTAGGAATAGAGGCAGTAAGAGATGGAAAATGGGGGGAGATGAGACAGCAGGACAGTGGAGG